CACGTGCTGCAGCGTCCTCAAGTCTCTCCTCGTGACTGCCAGCGATGGAGGAAACCATCTGAGTTTGACGGGAAGGTAACCGGGGAAGCTTACCTGGCTCAGTTTAAGCTTCTGGCAGACACTCAAGGCTGGGACGATGATGAGGTTTTGCAGCTCGTTTCCAGTCTTCATGGGTCAGTACTGGAAGTGCTGGCTCATTTAACTTCATCGCAGCAAACAGTTTACTTTTATATGGTGGGAGCGCTCCAACGGAGGTTCGGCCATCACTATCAGGCGGAGGTGTACCGGGCCCGCCTTAAGGCCAGGGTGCGAGCCAGGGGTGAGTCTCTCCCTCAGTTGGCTCAGGAGTTAGAGACGCTCGTCCGCCACGCCTACCCCGCCGCTGCCGAGGACATAGTGACCATCCAGACGCGGGATTATTTTGTGGACGTGCTGCAGGATCGGGAGCTGCAGTTATACGTCAAGCAGGCACACCCGGAGGACGTATAGGTAGCTCTGGCAAGGGCACTGGAGCTGGAGGCATTCCTGCGTACTGCAGTATTGGGCGTTGCAGTGGAGGTGCCACGAAAATTTTACTCTAACATAGAGTTTCGGGCCTGGCGCACCCAAGTGGGGGAGTCGCCCGTGGAACAGTCAGGTGCTACCCAGTGAGTGAGTCTGACAGGCTTCCAGGGTATCTGCTGGAAGTGCAGCAAGAAGGGGCACTGCTGGAGTGACTGCCCGAGGGGACGGAGGACACGTGCCCTATAAAGGACACCCATTTCTGCCTTCCAGCCATGCTGTGCGAGCTGTGGGCGTTACGGCCACTTCTCAGGTACCTGCACTGCCTCTAAAGACATGCAGGTGGGAAATGAGGGGGGGCTGGATGCGGGGGCCAACAGCCAGCCCACGCTCATTGGGTCCCACACAGTGTAATCTGTCGCCGTGCAGCCGCTCCAACGGTCCATATAAGAGGAACCGTGAATGGAAAGAATGGAAAAAACCATCATGTGCCCCGATGTGTAAACTGCGAGAGACTATCATGAGGAACCAAGACAACTCTGTGGGGTCACGGGGTACTGTACGCCACTCAGGGGACCAGTTGAAGCACGACGTACACAGGTACTGCCTGTGTATGTCGCCGAAATGGAGGACCCTTGTCTCTTGGGAATGACTACCTTATGCAGGTTGGAGCGTGTATCGACCTGAAGAAACGGAAACTAAGGATACGAGAAAAAGAAGTGCCCTTGTCTCTTGGCGTCGCTCCAGCAGAGGTAGTGATGGCTGAGCGTGTGCATTTTGCCTCGAACACAGAGCCTAAAGTGACCTTTGAGTTGTCTGGGAAGTTAGAAAATCATGACTGCATGACTGAGTCCATAGAACCTTTGGAGCAGGCAGACGACAGCGAGGAGGTAACCTTTCAGAAAAGACTACCTGGAAATGAGGGGGTGGTTAATGATGTCTCCCT